CTCTACAGTTTTAGTCATTAGGTATCGTATATTTCCTTACAGCAAAACCAACAAAAACATTCAAAAGCAAATGATTATATATGTTTCTTTTTATAGAGTGGCTGATGCACTGGCACTTCTTTTCCTGGAAGAGCAAACTGGCTTCACCACTCACTTGGTGGCTTTCATTTCACAGAACTCAGAACCCCCCACCCCCCAACCCACCCCCCCTGTTACCCAAGCTGAGCGCAGGGCAATCTGAGGATGAGTGAGCACCAGAATTTTTCACACTGGACGGACATTGTGACATTTGCGACTTTTGACCATCCGTGGTTTAGCCATTTGATTGTGATTCATTTAGGTGTCATGCATTCAATCAAAAAGAATAGCGCAAAGATTGTGGTTTATTGTGCCGAGCGTTGGACATGTTGAACGCCACTAGATTTTGTTTTCACCTCTTTTTCAATGCATTGACGTGGACGCGCGGTGGGCGGCTACCATGTCGGCCATTACTGCGGGCGAAGCTGCCATCGAGCATTGCGCCTTTGACAGTGTTGCATTGTTCCAGAACCACAAACAAAATTCTGCTGACTACACTGTAACGTCATTCAAAGTATTTACTTTTTAAGGCGAGATTCTAAACCTACTAGTGGGAGTTCCCTCAACTGTCTCTGATTGAGACTGAAACAAATATTCCCTGATTGGAGGTATTGTGCCGATTCCAGATGGGCATGCGCTGGAAGGCTTCATAGTGGTCGGTCGCGGGGAAAGACAAACGCTGTGGTCGATGCTAGATGTTGGCAGAAACCTCTTTCAGTCAAAGAAGGAGGACCGAATTCGAGAAAACATGACTGACAAGTCCAAGGTGAGGCATGTAACAGACTTCCATCACTCTTTGTTTCCTGGGGTTGCTGTGCCAAACGAACCATGTTCAAAACATGCGAAAAGCACTGCGGCTGGAGACGATGCCAACGCTGGCGGTGGGTTCTATCTCGAGAGACGCTGTATTGCAACATCAATGCTAGTTGCATGGGTAGCGTATGGGATTGCATACGCTAACCGAATGCCAGCGGATCGCAAGCGAGCAAGACAGTTACTACGTGGTCTGTTGATGAAGCTCCTCGTGACGGTTAGCAGGATCCGCCTGTTGTTGCCAACAAGCGGTTTTGAGAATCACTGGTGTGAAGCCTTTGTGAGCATTGACGGGAAGGTTGCAGCCAGGGATTGTTATTCTCCAGCCGTGCTGGCAGCAATTCGAATTCAATGGGAACATTACAGACTTCAGGGCCTGCTAGATTCCCACTTGGAGAACCCGTTGCTTTTGGATGTGATATGCTTCGCATTGTATCCAGACAATGCCCAGGGGAATCTGCTGAAACCATTGAGTTTCAGTCTCCTTGCTCAGTTTACCAAGGTTTTCGATGAACACCCAATTTCAATGTCAGAGCACACATCCAAATACAGGGACATGCTCCTTAAGAATCGGGCGAGAGCGACTGTTGCACTGCGCGCAGCAGTGCGCAGTGTAGGTGTTTTCCTCATGCATCAGAATGTTACTCGCATTGGAGCTAGCTCAATTTTGTGTTTCAATATTTACTCCGGGCATTGTCAATTGTTGCAAATGTTCACTGGGTACTTTGATGGACAAACAGCAGTAATCAGTACCAGCGATTTAGTTAAAGAGGTCATTTCATTGGGAAGATTCCTAAGTTTTTTGATGCCCGCTCATGATTCAATCCGGCCCAGGAGGACAATGGGATGACTTTCAGGAAGGCGCTGGACAAGTATGAGATGGAACACGTCCGGAGCCACCGCTTTGCCTGGCAGTTGTCAGTTGGCACCTGAGTGAATCAGCAGCCGGAGCAGAGAGTGACTGAAAGTATCGCTGAAAACGATTTAGCTAAACAACAACTCAACAATATACAGACTCGTGCTCGATTGACGACTTGACAATTATCAAATCGATTGATGCATTGGACAGCCAGTCAGTCAGACAGTCCTATTATTCATTGATTGACCGATTTCTAGCGTAGCTCGACTCAGAGTCACAGTGTCACAGGTCCTGTATAAAGTAACGTACGAATTGAATTACTAAAAAACGGATTGATTGACAGCTATCCAGGAAATCCAGGGTGATAAGTACGTTGCACATTCAATTAACCTGACCGACCAGACCAGACAGACCAACGGCTAAGGCGGCGTACTGGGCAAAGGCGTGCGCTACTTTGTCACAATGCAAGAACTTCTGGGCAGGGACGCCCGATTGTCTTGGAACAGCCGCAGTTGAAACCGAGTAATTTGACTCAACAGGTGTCAGTATTTAAGTCATTTTGACATCAGTTTTAAGCCTGAATTATGAGTGCGAGTATTACTCCAGTCTGATAATAATGAAGGGACACGACATCAGGATCATCAAGTCAATTGTCTCTACAGTGCGCACTGTCCATCGAATCGAATCTCAGTTGACTAAGGTGTACATTGATGGAAGCACTGTGGCGTGCAAACCCACAGAGCTTTGTTTCCTGTACACCCCGGACCCTGGCATCCGCAGCGGTGCATATGCACCACCTGTCGTCGGGCCCTCAAATTATAGACAGAGACCAGATTTTTAATTAAATAATCAGTGAAACCAGGAACAACATATTGTTGATTTTGCTAATGGTTGATATTTATGTTGGGCCCGGGTAGTGGAAAAGACTGAACAGGTTACGGGTGATCAATGTCAGGTCAGCCGGTCGTTCCAACTCCTGATTTTGCACACGAAGCGTCGCTGAATCACGCATCGCCGTTGTCCTGCGGTTCAATCCAGTTTTAAATACATGTCGTTTGAGCTGACCAATCCAGGAGTGTTCAGAAGTTCAAGGCAATATATCAGCCAATTAAATACTACCAAGTTAAATTGCCCATGGAAATTTCACATGAGCACTGTTCGGTTCGATAGCCACATATACATAACAATAGCTATTATATTTTAATTGGCCTAATTTGCTCCGTTGCCAAAGTCAGTCAGTGTCGTTGACTGACTCCAGTGACTGAATTGGGGCCATGGACGGATTCTCATCCCTGTCAGTGGTCAGCTCCGATGACTCTGCAACGCCACTGACGCAAAGCAGCTATTCACCACGACCAATGCAGGCAGGGCCCGCAGGCAGCCAGTCCAGGTTACTTATAAAAGTAGTTCATCGATTGTCAATCAATGAAAGGTCATAATATAATATGCTTTGGCAAGGGTCTTTGTCACTCAGACAGTCTGACAGTCATGTCACTGACAGTCAAAAAAAGTCTGACTGACACACGAGACTCGGAAGTGACGTGTGAAGTGACCAACGTCGACAACGACCATCGGACTGACAGTCAGACACTGTCACATACCAGACGTATAGTGAAACCTGGATGTGCCCCTGCCAGGACCTCCTTAGCGATCAAAACATCTTGGCAAGAGCTTCGCGCTGCTTCCAAATCGGGTGGCGCATCATTGTGGAAAATATCCCAGGAGACCTTCTGCAGGACAGACAGACTGAGAACGAGCCTGTTGTCGTTCGGAGTCAACCGGGGTTGGTTTCTTCATGTCATGTGAATGAACCAACATGTCAACTTACTTAGTGACATAGTACTGTAAGTAACATCATCCCGATTCAGACTGATTTGAAATTGAACAGGTTTGAAGTGTCCTGCAAAAATGTATTGCACTGCTGACTGACCGTTTGTCAGATTACTCTGACTGACTAGTTGAAGTGTCTGACTTACTAGTCATGGTGCACAACTTTGTTTCACAGTCTGACAGTCGTCGACTGGCATCCAGATGGTCAGCAGGCTCTCAATCGACTTAATTCCACCGGCTTCCGAGGACACACTACTCTTCACTGGCAGGAAGGCCACGTCATCCTGCACTGGTGCAGCTACGAGTGAGATGGCCCTGGCAGTGGTGGAGAAAACCATCAATGATGCTGGGGGGATAGATGGTAGACTCATGGACTTCAGGATCAGCAGCGCACACGAAACTTAGCTTGACAAAAAACACTGTAGCACCTGTCTGTCTGTCTGAGCCTGTGTTCAACAGAAGAATATATTCACACAAATTGAGGGAACACTAAAATGTCGTCCTCCAGTCACCCGCGGGTAACCTCAGGTATGACACAATATACTATATTATGATTTTTGTTTCCTAAGGAGTGGGCACAGAAGTGTCATCAGTTGATCTACGATGCGCATCACTGGATTAAACAGATCTTAGAGAAGCACTACCCGTCTCCATGTATCTTTGGTGATTTGGAAGGAATCGTTCTCAAGGGTTCATATAATCCTGGTGATGACTTCATGACAAAGTTCCACTCCATAGACGCTGCTCGTGTGTGCAAGAAACAGTATTGTCACGCCCACAGCGGTGACTGTCCTCTCATTAGCCAAGACAGTCACTTGGAGGTAGCGGGCCTGCCGTGCTGGGACTTCAGCATTGCTGGGAAGAGAAGAATGGAAGAGGGTCCCACGAACACTGCCTTCATTACACATGCAAAGCGCATGGTGGAGAAGGAAGTTCCCCTGGTGTTGATTGAAAACACGAAGGACTGTTATGGACTGTTTCTTTTTTGGTTGTGGATGGACTCTAACTGGGTTTATCTACAGTCTGTCTCAGCTTACTTCAATAAAAGTGCGAAGCTAAGCAACCTGGTAAACCTGGTAAGTAAAAAAAACTAGATACGTAGACCCATTCAGTAAATTCTGTCTGACTGACTGTGTTTGTGTCCGACCCCTGCCAGAAGCTACGGATCCAAATGATCAAGCTCCTTTACGGGGAGCATTACAACATCAAGAAGCTCATGACTGAAACAAACGATGCTGGTCACTCTGGTACTTCTCGTGAAAGGATTTACCTCATACTGAGCCACAAGAAGAAGACGATCGAAATTGCAGACCCAGTGGCACTGTATGAAAAGATCTCACAGATCATGCGGAGGTCAGTGCAAACGGCCCCATCCGACTACATGATCTCCTCAGATGGTGAGGTTTTGCGGGAAGCTGCACAACTCGCCATAAAGAGAGGTATCCCGGCACCAGTCACTTGGATTATCAACCCGTTACCAGTCATGTTGCTATTTTGTTAAATTGGCAGGGCAAATACAGTAAGTATGTTGATAATTAATAATCATTGCCACTGCCTGACTGACTGACTGACACACAGTCAGACTGATTTTTGGTGTTCTTGATACGTCCATCAGACGGACCGACCGACCAACCGAACGACCCCGGACTGGAACCAGTCTGACTGACTGTGACACTGTGAGTCTGAGTGACAGTGCAGTCCACGGTAACCCGGTACAATCCCCGCTCAGTCTGTCTGTCTCAGTCTGTCCACTGCTGCCAGGCTTCTATGGGAACAACACCTGGCCGGCGGCTGGGAGTAAAAAAGATTCTGAACAAGCGTGAGAAGGCAGCTGTCGCCTGGCTTGACAACGTTTACAAAAAGAAGACGAAGCGAAGTCCTGAATCAGACCCCAACCTGGTCTACTTCTTGGGAGACAACCCATGGAACAGAATTGTGTGGAGCGCAACAAGCGGGAAACTGCCTACACTACGGATGAACCGGGGAATACTGTGGATTCCTCACAGGTCCAGATTCCTCACATCACGTGAGCGACTCGCGAGCATGGGTTTTCCTGTCAGCCTGGAAATGGCCCAGGCTATGGGGACAATGGAAGTGCCAATCAAAGACATCAATCGGGCTTCCAGCGTTGCTGGAAATGCTATGCACTTTGGAGTGGTGGGGTTGGTGCAAATGACAGCGCTTGCAAGCTACCGGCTCACTGGCTCTGAGCGAGTGTAATGAGAGTGAAAGAAACAGGATAGCAATGAAGGCATCTCAGGACCAACAACTGGTCGAAAAAACTTACTGTTTCAAGTCTGTAGTGAGAACATACTGACCGACAGACAGACAGACTGACTGACTGACTCTCTTTTCGGCTTTGCAAAACGTGGTGCCTAACTGCTTGGGAAGAAGTATGAAGGGGTTCAGAGTGACATGACTCATCAGTGACCGTGACTGACTGTTCAACATTTTGTTTGTAGACCAAAACTGTTTATTCATTATTCATTTGATTTGAATTTGACATAATTTGACTGTCAGAATTCATGATCGTTCCATCATTGAATCGACACAGTTTGCAAATTAGAACTGTTGTTCATTCATTCATAATGTCAATGACATACAATGACTGTGAATCAATATAATTGTTTCAGATTCGTATGTTTTCTACATAGATTTCTTTTGCTATTTATGTTTCAAGTGAATTGCACGCACTGCGTTCCAATGCCTGCACATCACACCACATCACCCGCCCACCAGTGTTTTCGCTCAATTTGATAGATCGCATCGTCCGTTTGAGCGAGTGCCTCACTGATCATCGTTTTTACAGCTGATTTGGGTCGTTGTTGGACTGATCAATGATGGCATCTCCAGCGGTGAGGAAGGCAGTTCGCAGGCCAGTTAGCAGTGATGCTCAGCGAGGATCTGTGGTGCCAGTGCCAAAGGCAGAGGCTACAATATCCCGTGTTGCTCCACACCCGAGTGCAGAGCAGAGTCAATCGGCTGGTGGTGGGCCAGATCAGACAAAGGCTCCATTGCACCGCATGGCTGGGAAGCGCCCTGCACCAACACAGCCACTTGTCATAACTTCGAGTCATCAATCACTCAATACCAATTGAGTCGAACATAACGATGAGTATATAAATGCGTTCTTCCATTTATTATAATAATTAGCTGGTGATTGGAATACATTGCTGGTTCACTGGTGACAGACAGACAGACTGACTACTGGATACCAGTCTCCGCTTAGCTCATCAGCAGCGCAGCATCGTTACGAATCGTTTACTGTTACGGCTGCAGGTGGCCTGGTGGCTATACTATGCCATTGGAGGAGGAATCGGACGGTGAGCGCGGTGGTCAGAACGCACCGAAACGAGCTGCTAGGCAGCCAGTTGCAAAGCCGAAGGCAGCAGCGGGTCGCAGCAAGCTTCACAACCCTGATGGCAGCTCCTGCCGGCGAAGAACCGTGGAGAAGTACAACCAGAAGACATACGGTCAAGTTGCTGTGACCAGGCTGCATTTGAATTTAAAAGTCGCTTACATATTAAGTGGCACCGTTCGCAATGCAATTTTCACTGACAGAACAGTTCCAAACCAGTCCCCTAATGATTATATAGGGTTCATGTCATTGGACTTCACTTTTTTTAAAACTGACTTGATTCAAGTCGTGCGTTTATTTGATGAGATCAGATGTGTAATGTTACGCATTTCCCAATACACTTCACAATCATGGTGTGACGGGCTAAGGCATACCACCTCATAGATTGGTGCGACGAAGCTGATCCGGTGTTTGCGAACCGCAACGCTTTGGGCAAGGAGACTGTCACTCGCGACCACCTTTTCAGTTTGATCGCGTTCATGTTCGGAATGGCGCCTTGGGAGGAACCCAATCCGTATCTGGCATCTGCTCGGACATTGTTTTGTTTTTTTTTGCGTAAGTTAAGGTGAAGTCGATTTGGATTACCTGTCACATTAATTTTTAAGTTCATTAGTCAGTTACCTCCAGGTGTTTCATCTTTATGTTTGCAAATGCTTCACCAGTTTGGAGTGCATCTGAATGTAGCTTAGGCGAGAGAAACCTGAGATGCTCCGCTCCGTCAAGGGCGAGTATGCAAGAAGGGGCAAGACCCTGGAGCGGACGGGCTGGAGCGTGTTCGAAGTTCACGAGTTCATGCAAGCATGGCTGGCCAATGTCAAGCCAGGTGAGGATGTCGGCATTCGCGCGCACCAGCTGCCGAAGCGACCGAACGACCAGGAGCCAGCAAAGATGCCTGATTGGGTCAAGAAGTTCCATGCGGAGCGTGGTGAAGCAGAAGCGGAGGAGGAGTCTAAGGAGCCAGAAGCTGATTACCCTACACAAGGATACAAGGTGCGCCGTGGATCAAGCCGCTCTCCATGGCAGCTGAACCATGCTGAGATTCAATCCGTGGTCGAGTTGCCACCACTGACCAACAAGGAGGCCAAGTACTACGTCTACCAGTCCCGGGATGGAGATTGCCTGTGGAACACTGATGAGTCATCGGAGCCGCAGTTCTGCAAAGATATCTTTGAACAGCTCCTTGGCGCACGCACCACCACAGGATCTAAGGCACGTGGCGGTGCCGGTGCAGTGTCAGCAGGATCTCCAAACATGCCTGGACAGGTTGTCCATTCAGGACCGTTTTACAACCTTTTACTTTTGGGGTGGTTGATTTTTTTTGCTTATAATACTATACAAATATTGATAATTGGGGGGCATTGACTGACTGACTGTCTGATTAAAATTGTCTGTGAAACGATACATTGTACCTGGAGGATCAGTGATGAATCATCTCCCTTCTTCGCCTACAACCAGAAAGCCAGCACTTCGGCGAGTTCCCAAACCAGAGGAGAAGGCATCTTTTGGGTGGACAGATTAAATTGATGTTTCATAGTTTATGGAGAATCGTCATGTTTCATTGACATCAATGCAAAGGTGACATAGACAGCCAACACCAAAACACTTTAGTTAATTTTTTGACATTCTCATCCAAATCATGCTGTGTTTGTTGAACTTAATATCCACTCAAACGTAACTCTGAATGCCCCGAGTTTAACAACACAACGTCCCCTCCAGGCCACTTCCACTGCAGTGGTACAGAGGACGGACGATGTTGAAATGGATGAAGCGGATGACGATGCAAACTTTGGTGGCTCCGACTCTGAGCATGTGGCATCGCCGCGTGAGGCCAAAATCACAAGTGATTGCTGACTTTGAAATGTTCATTGCTATGATGTGCTTTATATTCCATTAGAGGTAAGTAACTGGTCGTCGTCGCTGAGTGACTCCATTCTATTATTGATTTGAGAACATTGAGTAAACCATTGGCGAACGCAGCGTTCATACAATCAAGATCAATTAAGAGTTATTGTTTGTTATTACTGATTGCTGACAGGACATTAACGATGACAATGAGGACGAGCCTAGCGACGACGATGAGGCCCCACTGATTTTTTCGGACTGTCAGACCAACGTCTCCTACTTGGTACACCTCACCAGCAACAAGGAGCTCAAACTTCCAAGTGATGTCACAGATTGGTGTATCAGCTTTCATGAATCCAAGGCAGGTGATATCACATACACATTGGCAAACCATGCGGGGACAGTGAAAGAGCGGGATGCTTTGAAGTTGCTGCAGGCATCAAAGCAAAGGAAATCCAACAAGAGCACTTGGAAATCATCCAAAAGTCACAGTCGCAGGAACAGGCAGCAAAGCGACAGAGGCGTGAGGAGGCAAAGCAGGTAAAGGAAGCACAAGCGTTGCTTGAACAGGAAGAACATCTGAAGGCAAGGAAAGCTGAACTTGAGGAATTGGAGAAACAACTCCAGACAGCAAAGGAGCAGCGGCAACAGCAGCAGCAGGCTAAGCAGCAGGTTCCCACCTCACCTGAGCATGTTCCCCCCCCTCCTGAGGAAGCATCACGCACAAGCAATGGACAGGAACCTCAGGAAGCCGTCCCTCAGAATCGTCCAGATGTACCTGCAGAGGGTGGAAACAAAAAGGAGCCTCCACCAAATGAGGAAGGTGCTCCTAAGCCGGCTTCACCCAAGGAGGAATCAGCCAAGGATGGGGGAGCAGACAATGCTGTCAAGGAAGAATCAAAGGAAAAAACTCCTGAGATTAAGGATGAGAAGCCAGCTGAGACTGAACCCAAGGTGGAGCGTGCACCAGCCAAGGGCACAACACAAAATCCCTTTGCAGCTGATCGTGGGCTGAAAACCTTGATGGAAGCAGCAGCAAAATCCAACGCGGGTAAGAGCAAGGCTGAAACATCATCCGCTTCATCGGCAAAGAAGGCAAAGAAATAGGGTGAGGCCCTAGGAATTTATTTGAACTGTAATCCTGCTGTCTTATATTGATCACCCACGGTCGAAAGGCGTAGTGTGTTTGCACCTGAAATAGTCTCCTAGAAAATAAGACCTTATTAAGCCTTATCAAGGCCTTAATAAGGCTTATTAAGCCTTATTAAGGCCTTATTTCTGGGTTACATTTCAGGGGGGGGGGGGTAGCCTACGGACTGCATATACGCAGTGAAAATGACACTGCTGGACTAAAAACGTGAGAAAACACAGGAGTTCGACAGTTTTGTGCATTTTTCTGCTTAGGTAGAATCGTATTTGCAACGCGTCCAATTCCAGGTAGATTCATAAATCTCTTGACTATCCCCCGGACCTTTCTAAGATTCTACTGGAGAACATTTTAGTCATCGCCGATAAAACCGGTGTGTTCACGTTCTGAATCATATCAATGTGGGTGGTCTCAAACTGACGTTGGATTCGGTTCTGGTTCGGCGTCTGGATTCGATCCGGTTTGGTGTCTGGCACCTGCACTTCGCACGGCAGTCATCCATCCCCACGATATTTGCCATCCTCAGTGCACAAAAATAGGCACAGTCATGTCTGACAGACAAAACTTTACTTCAACCTGGACCTGGTAACCTTGCACACTGGCTATATCTCAGGATTGTTCGGACTTTTATGTTTGCGTTGGTTTTGCGTAAGTGGGTTGACTGACTGCAAATAATTGACTGTGGCTCTTCAGTCATTTGAATGAAGAGTCTCCCATTCCCGGCCACGTTGCTTATGCGACTGATTGGGTGCATCCATTTAGGTTACAATAGTTTGTCTCCATGCCAGGATTTTCATCTAAACCATCATGATATGTATCATCGTTCATTCATTGTTGGGCTTGCATTGCAACTCAGTACGTGTGCAATACACG